AATCGGATTTTAAAAACTTCTTCACAAATACAAAATTAGATTAATTAACTTTGTTTCATCTTATTAATTGTAAGAAATAATTATATCTTTGGAATATAGAACTACATTTTTCCATAAAGAATATTACACATGAAAGTAAAAACAATACTAAGTCAAAAAGTAAAAAAGCACAAAAACAAGAAATGTTTAAAATATAGAATTGTTTTATTTTATTTTTTAAAAAAAATACAATGAAATTTGTGACGATTATAGTTTTGTAAATTAAACTCTCTTTTTTTTGGCATTGCAATGTAATATATTTGCTGTTGAATAATCAAAGTTTTTGAAACAGAAAACTCCATTGTCTATTTTAGTTAAAGTGCAACATCTATTTTAATTAAAGTACAACATCATTTCTTTTTGAACTTAAGAAATTACTACATGTTATTTTATTTATTTTTAAATTTTATAATGAAAGACTATTAGTTCATTACAAAGTGTATGCTATACAAAATAGTACGAACTGCTATTAGGATATTATACAATAATAAATATAATTTTTTTTTTCTTTAATTGGTGCTATTTGTATCTTAATTGAAATTTATGTAATTGATGGTCAATTATAAGTAGCACTTTTAATTCTCCTATTATCTCTCTCTATTATTTTTTTCCTACTTGCATTGCACTATGAATGCCAAAATAAAAATAAAAATGATAAGTATGAAAATATGTTTGGTTGATATTACTCCATAAATTAGATAACTTTTGATTTTCTAGATTTTTTCTTATAAAATTGAAAATTTCAAGCATCATAGAAGTTTACAAGTCAAGTTTTTGATAAAGAAAGAAGAAGGAAAAAAACCTCACAGTTTGTAAATTATTTGAAAAATCATAATTAAGCTTTATGACAAGCCAAAAAGAGTTTTTTTAAAGAAATTATAAAAGAAATAGTTTTAAATTTGCTGTAGGTGAGTTTCATATATGTATGTATTTCTACTCTCTAAAAAATAAAACTACTTTCTTATGCACATAATATCTATAGTTTTACATATGATGCAACCAAAAAAGTAACCTTTTAAAAACTATGTTGTATATATTATTTAATTTTTTTTCTTATAATTTTTATTTTATTTTCTTTTATGATTTGTAATATAGATGTACAAAGTTACTTTAACTTGATAAGCAGAATCATCATTGTACCAACTATTGAAACTTACAATTCTACATAACTTATGTAAAAAATAAACATAGCAAATTTAGATGCATTTTTTTTTTTTTTTTTTCAATAGTATACAACAAACAATGAAGTCCTAGCAAATTCGTATGGCTTATACATACTCGAATTTTGAATTAAACTATCTTAAAAATTACATACATCTAACACACAAATACAAATATTGCACAAATTTTTGTAAATAAAAATATAGGAGCTTTAAGTCAAATAAGAGAAAAAATTACTAAAGATTATTTACAAAATCTTGCAAAGACAACTTGGAGGAGCTAAGCACAATAATAAATTAAGATGCATATCTTATTGCACTAAAGCTAAAACAAATCTCTTTTAAAACTCTTTTACAACTTAAAATTTTTGTTCAATAATGTAAATAGATCTCAATCTATAAATTAGGAGTTAGTCGTATAACAGTGAAAAAGAAAATATAAAAGGGATAGAAGTGAAATTAAGATTATGTTATACACATGAAATATGTAATATCAATGCATAGGAAATGATTCTTATGTTTATAGATACCAAGTATCATACAAATGAATATAGTGTATTAAAATTAGAATACAAAAGTTTGAAAATCAATTCTTAAAAAAAATATCAGACTCTATGCATGATGATTATTTTGGATGCATTCTACTTTACAATTTTGGCCTTTTATAGCAATCTTCTAAAATCAATGTAATCTTCTATTTAATAAAAATAGTAGGACTAACATAATTTCTTGATGGTGAATTAATACTCTTATTACAATCCAATCATTTGAGCAATATCAAACAAAGTAGCATTTTCATAGTTAATTTTTATTATGAATTTAAGAAAAATCAGAAACATTTTTATTTACAAAAAGTAGTTGCTATTGTTCCATTGAACCAAATTATGAAGACATAGCTTGAATAACATTTTTGGCACATCCAAGAAATTGAAACTCATAAAACTTAGGTATGCAATGAAAAGACGGTATCAATTCAAATCCCATATCACAAAATAAAAATACATATTCAACATGTGAACATAATATTAGAAAACAAAAATGTCAAAAACTTAACCATGAGATCTCAATATCAGAATTTGACAAAACTGACATGTGATGGTAGAACATGTTGAGTTTTTGCATGATGTAAATGTGGATTTACTATACACTATTGCATAACAATGAGAGGAGGGCAACCAAAGGATGGACCAAAGTCTTCTTCCTCATGAGATTTATCATAGCCTTGAATTTATATGATACCATTCACTAATTTCATATCTGTGCCAATGTACAAACTTACTTTTGAGCAGCCTTCAGTGTTAGACTTTTCCCACAAGCCCCGAGGCCCTAAACCATCGAATGCCGACTTCCACTCGAAGGTATCTCCCACCGTCTCCCAATTTCACGAAATTCCTGTTCCTCCGTGAGCAATCTTTCACTGACTTTCTCTGCTGTTCGCTGCGTTGAAGAATGTGAGGAGGAACTTTGATTATCTTGTGTCGCGAAGTTCATGTACCTGAGAAATTGCGGTGCTGGCACCGGGAGCGAGATATCTCTAACCCCTTGCAGCAGCTTCACGACCTCGCTCATGGAAGGTCGCAATTGTGGGTTGTCGTTGATGCACAGAAATGCGACTCGTAGTGCTGTTTTAACTTCATCCCGATCTACAATTCCTGTCAGTGACGGATCCACCACTTCCATGAACTCATCCGTTTCCAGTTTGGGGAATGCCCAGACTGGGAAATACAAATCCGCCGCGTTGAGCCTGGTTATGTCGCAGTTTCGACAGCCGCTCACAATCTCCAGCAACACCAATCCTACCTGTAGACGTCCACCTTGTCGGTGATGCTCACGGTATTAGGCATATGGTACTCCGGGGCCATGTAGCCGAATGTGCCTCGTAGGTTCATGGTCTTGCTCTGCGCTTGCGTGGTTTGGTTACGGTTCCGGGTGCGGGAGGGTCCAAAATCCGCCACCTTTGCACAGTACAATGAATCTAGCAGGATGTTGTCGGGTTTGATGTCGCAGTGGATGATCCGTCGTTTGCAGTCACCGTGGAGGTGAGCCAAGCCTCTGGCGGTTTGGATGGCTATGGCGAAGCGGGTGCGCCATTCCAGGACAGGAAGCCGTAATTTCACACGTTTGAATAATGCTGCGTGAAGGGAACCTCTTTCGACGTACTCGTAGACGAGCAATCTGTGGTTCCCTTCGGAGCAGTAGCCGAGAAGCGAGACGAGATGCACATGGTGGATCTGTCCTACGCTGTCGACCTCGTTGAGAAAGTCTTTCTCAACCTGGCTAGTTGGCTCTTTCTTGAGCTGTTTCACAGCGACTGTGATAATACTATCGGAACTGATCTGGCGCGGATTGGGTCCGATGTGTCCCTTGAAAACAGTTCCATATCCACCTTCTCCGATCTTGGTTTGGAAGTTAGCAGTAATAAGCTCAATCTCCGTATATGTGAGTCGAACAATCGTGCCTTTGGCTGCTAACCACTTGTCATGTAGGCTGCTCCGCTTCCAGTTCTGCATCTTCCTCGCAAGGAAGAAACCCCCATACGCGCAAGCTATCAAGGAGAAAATCCCTACAATCGCACCAAGTCCGATAGCCACAAATGTAATAGTACGATGATTGTCTTTGACGACCAAGCTCGGAGGTGCTGCTGTAGGCTGTAGACTCGGAGCTGCAATTCATATGTACGCCTCGCGAGTGCCGAGAATTTCGCCATTCAGAAGGGTTCTTCTCTTGTGCCAGCACGCATCCACAAGCCCTTCGCTGCTCGGGATTGTGGATATAGCGGCTGCACACTCGCAAGATTCAAAACAACGCTGTTTGCAGTAAGACAGATTTGCGTTTTCAAACTTGACCAAGTCGTTTTGTGGCCAGTCATTGTTCAAAGCTCGGGTGAAAGTGTCGGGAAGCGCTGCTTTGTTGGTGCAATATGCCGCCGGCGTTTTCCCCCGACACCCGAGCCTTCGGTCTGTGCGGTCGACAAGCTCAAATTCATCGAGGCAAGAACACTCCCCCCGATCACAAACTGCGTAGGGACCGCAATACCCTGAAATGGAGCATTCTGAATCCATTAGTTTCCATACAATCGTCCAGTTTGCGTTATGGACTGTCCAGCTGTACAAGCGAATGTTGCCATCCTTATCAAGCGTCAATCGAAGAAGTTGACCAGGCACCTGGAGAACCCACTGCCCCTGTCCGTCAAGTCTTCGGATTTCTCCTTCCGGTGTCAGCTTGATTTCAGAAAACTGCGTATTATTTTGCCAGTATATGTTTTTCGATTTGTCGACGTCCCAAGGATACGGGTTCAGCCAGGTTGCGTAAATTGTATTCATAGAAGTCCATCCGAGGATATACTTTCCAGGAGTCCAGTCGCCGTCGTTTTGCCACGCGGCGATGGTGTTGTACTCTGTGTTTGCTCGGAAAGTTTGGTTAGGCAAGAGCGTGTCTGTGGGATAGTCGAAGCTCTGCCAAACCACTCCCCATGCCTGAGTTTAGTAGCCCGTGTCCAGAATGATGGCACTGGTCACATTCAGCTGCATGATAAGTGTTCACCAGAATTGCATCAGACATGGTTGGGAAGCGTACTTAGGATGATGAAGAGTCAATTCAGCTTTGTGAACGTGTAGCTACTGTTAACGGAACGTAGTGTATGAAAGCTTACGTCTGCAGTGTTGGACATCCACATGCGCTTCGAAGTTGGGACGGCACCGTCGTAGACCTCAATGCTCCCCTGTGCCGACAACCGCAGTGTGGCATTCTCGACGTCGGTCAAAGCCATGGATCTGTCAGCAACCCAAACGACGGTTTTCGCCTCAACAGCTTTTGGTTGAGCATACCGGATCGCGAGCGTACACTGAGGAGGTTAGATTAGGGCGCTTTCCAGAGAAGAAACCCAATTCGAATATTCCTCCGGGGGATACCAATGTCATGTTCGACGTCATGGAGGAATTTGAGGCAAGAGTGCTTCCTGATGCTGACTGGCAATCACAGGAGAGGATGAAGCTCATCACCAAGAAGAGATACGCGAGCCATTTTGAAATTCGACAATATCTCGTCCTCGTGATGCATGCTTATGCCTTGATTCCTTTCCAATGCATTTTGCGCACCTGCGCTCTAGGTTACCCTGCACCACCCTGACGAACTCGAGCATGCAGTTAAGTTCAGATGGAAAGACACAAAACCGCTCAACAAGATCCTTTCGACCTTCTCAACTGGGAACGAGCTCTGAGCTAGTTGCCGACGTAGCGTTCCGCGACTGAGTTATACTTGAAATAATAACCCCCTCCATAGGTATTTTTTTATTAGGAAGCAGAGGGATCCCTTGCAAGACCTATTCTGAAAGATGCACTCACAAGCTGACGAAGTTCCCCTCGTACAGCATCCCCTCTCCCCACCACCCCCCCCCCCCCCCCCCCCTCGCCCCCATTAAGCAAGTTCGAAGCAGCACCTGCACTTCATGGCTGTTTGTGACGCGAATCGACAATTCCCTCCAAGCACAACCACATGCGAGAAGGTGCTCATGCTATATCGTTTATCCAACCCCATCAAAATAATAACTCTTCGTAAAACTGGCGCACAGTCCATGAAAAAAGTCTGAAGACCGTGGAATCTAAGAGTGTGGGCAAGGCTAGGATTTGAGAGTGCGAGGAAGAATCACCATCTGGGAACCTCAAACCTTCGGACACACACACACAGAGACTCCTCCTATCTGTCTCTGAGCTTCAACCTTTGAAGATGTGGAGGGATGAAGCACATCACGGAGTCACGTTAACTTGGGTACCCAGCATCAGTTCTACCGTTGTCAATTGTCGGTACCGGATTCCAGCTCTAATTAGTCTGAATATGGTCTGAAGCAGTCACGTCAAAAGTTGGTTGAACAGTTACATTCCATTCTCAATTCGTCCACCCCCCGCTCTCCTTAGATTTCGGATCTCCTGTCGTAGTATATATTTTCGTACGCCTGTGGTTTTGAGAAGTTCAGAAACAGTCTTTTATTTTTATTTTTTTTTAATAATCTAGATTTCAAAAGGATCACAAAATCTAGATAGCAAAATGATCACTTCGGTTAATCACATTCTAATGAATGATTAGGAAGTTGATATGTTGAGAATCTGTTGCAAAAAGTTTTGACAAAAAATTTAAAAAACAAAAATTAAGAGAAAGATGACAAGTTTAGTTTGTATTGCCAAAAAAGGACCACTAATACAAAAGTGAACTGATTTTCAAATAGTCAATTTGGAAGAAACATTAATTTTGTGGTTGCATAAGAATGAGACAGACTTCAATAATGAAGGGTAGAATATTAGTGACCTCAGTGTTGTAGCAATAACAAAGAGTTGTATATGGATTTGTTTTGCAAGATGATTAGTATCATTGCACAATAGTTAGGTTTTCTTAAAAAAAAGATTTTATATTTTAAGCTTGCCTTGGTTAATTTAAATTTAAATTCCCTAAACCCCAAAAAAAAAAAAAAAAAAAAAAAAAAATTATAAAATGACTATTAATATATATGAAAAAACTAAAGATTCTTAAACCAAGATTAAAACACAAGAAAATTGTTAATAAGACCAAAGATGGAGTTAGTCTTATCTCTATGTATACTAATTATAAATAAGGTCTCATAGAAGGTTATTAGGATCGTAAGGCTTGTGACCTAAACATCAAATTGTAGGTTAGTAAAATACAACTTCTTAAAAATAAAAAAATCTAGGACACGTTTATAAAGCCACATGACATATCTATAAAAATCTAACTATTTGATCTATATCAAAGAAAATTTATTAAAAATTTATAAATAAAAATGAATAAATAAAAATATTATCCTCTCTATATTTCATAGAAATTCTATAAGTTGATTGTTGATTTTATTTCTACTTTATTTATATTATTATATTTTTAGTAATTAATTCTTGATTTTAAAAGATGTTATTAATAAAAAAAGAGTAATAAGTTGTAATGCATTTGCAAAATTCTTGGATTGCTTCCATATATGTTTGTATGTTCTACTAATACATCTTAATTGGTAGAATTATTAAAAATATATTTTTAATTTTTTGATATAAAAATATATTAAAATTAGAGGGTTAATATGATTTTATAAGAATTTATTAGGATTTAGAAGCTTTTATAAGTTAAAAGAGTCTTGTTATGCAAAAATTTATTAAATTAGAATTTTAGTAAGTCTTTGAGGCAATTACCTTATTTTTCTTAATATATATTTTTTAAATTTTAATAATTATTATTTAGTTATTAAGACTAATGTCTTATATAATCTTCTATTCATTTGTATTATCTATCAAAAGGTTAGAAATGTTAATTAGTAGATAGGAAAAGTATGACTAAGAATTTCATGAATTTTTAGTAATTTATGTATATATATATATATATATATATATATATACATATATATATTGTTAATTTAATAGATTATATTTTTTAAAAAAACACCATGGTAGCATCAAGTGACCTTAAATTTTTCTCATTATCTTAGAAACATTATAAGATTTTTTAGAATTTATTTAGGAGATTTTATGAATTTTTGGAATTCATTTTGAAGACTTAGGTATAAATTAATTTACCACTTTGGAGAGGCCAAACTAAAGAATTAAAATAAGATTTTAAGATACTTTGAGGTTTTGAGGTTAATTTTGTATTTTTGAATACCATGGTGAAATTAAATAAGAAAAATAACATGTATTACTAATAGAAATTATAGTGATGAGCAGCTAGTATTGTAGTTGTAAAAAAGGAGGTACATATATCCTATATGGATTGTAGTATGTTGGATGTAGGTAGGAAGATGAAATGAAGGCCTCATTTCTTCTCTAAGATACTATAAACAACACTTTGTGAGCCTTAATGAGGTTCAAATCCTTAAATTTAAAAATAAATCATCTTTGAGATAAATCTATTCACTTATATTTTTATCAATTTAAAATCATATATTCTTTATATTTTTAGAAACATTAAAAATATATTAAAACTTACTTTTATCAATTTAGAATCATATATTCTTTGTATTGTTAGAAACATTAAAAACATCTATTTATAAAAAAATATTTTTTAATTTAATTTTTTATCTACTTTAATAAATGGTGGCGATAGTTTTTTTCTTTAAAAAATTAGATTGTAGTATAAAATTCTATTATATATATATATATATATATATATACACACACAATGGATTTTTATTAATTATCATAATTACAATTGATATGCAATTAAATTGTTCTATTTTTGAATATTTAACAATCCGAGCCTTTTATAATTTAGCTTCTAAATATGATCCTCCATCCCTCTCCCTCCGTAATTTTTAAAATTATGCTTCATTCTTCTTTAGGTTGTTTTTCAAAAGTAATAGGCCTCCCTTTGCACCAATGTCTGGCATTCTCCTCTGCAATGCAATTTATATTCCGACTTTTATCCCCAATACCCTTTTCTTTTGGCCTTCTTTATATCGGGTAATTCTATCATGTTTCTTGGAAGGATTTTTTTTTGTATATAATCTATTTTTTTTAGATGCATGTCTTATATATATATATATATATATATATAAGTATTTCTAACATTTATATATTTTTTAACTACAAATGTGTATATAATTAAAAATACATGTATTTAAAAAACTAAGAATCTATATATTTGTATTTATATATATAAATAATTTTATAAAAAAAGGCTAGAAAATAAAAATAAAAATCGAAGAGGAAAATAAATAAATAACAATGGTAGGGAATGAATCAATTCAAAACTACCATCTGTAATTAAGAAGAGGGTGCTAAGAATTTTTAGAGGACTGATCCAATAATATTTTAGTAGAATTTGGTACATCATAAAGAAAAAGTATATAGAAAGTAATCTAAAAATGAAAGTTAAAATTCTTCTTATAAGTGAGTTTTTTCAAAGGTATAGTCAGCTATGTCCATGTTGATTAATGCATATGTTATTAATCAATTAATTAAAGTAAAATTAATTAAAAAAAAATAGATAAGTCAACATTTACAATATCATCTAAAAATGTATGATGTTAATAAAGAATATATACACATATGAAATTATAAACTGATAAAGAATTTGATGTTTTAAAGAATTACTTTTATACTTGAAAAAAAGTCTCTCAATTGTGAAAATTCTTGTATAAATAATAAACCTCATTATTGCTTTTTTTTACAGGCATAACAATAGTGCTTATTGTAATGGATTAGAAATGTGCACAAAAAGAATATATTCAATCTAATAGAAATGACATACAATGAAAGTTATTTATTTCAAAGTTGAAGTAATATCCATTAGGAAACATACACAAGAATTTAATTTTATAAGAAAGTATAAACATTGTGTTGTACAATGATGTCTATATGAAATCTAGACAAAATCCTAAAAATATTTATTGCTAACCTTAGAACCTTCACAAAACTAGATTTAAATTAAAACTAGACAAATTTAGTTTTTAGGTAATTCCATACCCTATACAAAAGAAGGGAAGGAGGGGAGGAGAGAGAGAGGGAGAGAGAGACAATCCTTATCCTTTTTTTAGAATCTCCAAAGAATCTATTAGAAACCAAAAAGAAAAACTTGCTAAAAAAACTTATAGTAATATAATACAAGACATATATCAACAAGGCTTTTATAGTTGATTGCTAACATATAAAAAAATTCCAAAAATTATTGAAATGTTTAAATTTTTTTGTAATAGTTGCAAATCTATTTTCAATTATATTAAGTATAGAATTAAAAACTTATTGTTCTTCTAACTAAATAAAAATAAATTCAAATAAATTTCCAAGTCAAATTAGAAGACGATAATTGAC